CAGTTCCATGGTACAGTGGCAATGTGCTACTCAGGAGAAACCAGATCCCACATGACCACCAGCGTCATAAACCAACAACTCTTTGCCCTCTTTCTCTGGAACCCGTTTGGTCTGTGCTGGTGAGGGGCAGGCCTCAAGTGCTTTATTTCTTTCTCTTCCCTGACTCCTCCACTTCTTACCAATGTTCCCTGGTACCATCCCTCAAATAAACGTATTATATTTGAATTCTTGTCTGGGATCTATTCAGTTTATCTGCAAGAATTCAGATTAAGACAAGATACCAAATTGAGATACCCAATCTATAATTTGTTGAAATTTCTTAAAGTGTTTGAAAGGATGTCCTATAATTTCAGGCGGTATACAGTATTCTCCCCTCACATCCCCTCCCGCCTTTAAAAAAAATAGAGAGAAGATTACTCTGGAATCTAGCCCGTGGAGCTAATGGAAACAAGTAGTTTGGCAAGGATCAGGGTTCGTGATCTCATTATTTAGGTAAAGATATAAAGAATTCTTAGGATAAGGGTTTATTTTTATTTTTTAATTGCCAGAGGGTGCATGCACTTGCCAGAGAGAGAAAGAAGAAGAGGGAGGAAGCATCCCCCCACCAGTGGGGCTTGGTCACACCACCACCTTTTCTTCTCCATTTCTTCATCCTCTTGGGATTTGGGCATGCATGTACATGCACCCAGTGTGTTTCTCAAGCTGCCAGGGCCAGGATTTGAACTGTCATTGGCCATGTGGGATCTGGCTCCGTTAACCACTAGGCTATGGGACTGGCCCTGGTTTTATTCATATTAATGGAAACCTTATATTCACATTTATTCCCATTTTAATTTATTTGGGATATCTTGATGTTAAACTGATATAAAAGGAGGAGCCTAGAATGCCTCCAGGTTTCTCTCTTAATTATCTGGATTTTTGGTGGTGACATTAAACAGGTGGGGCGTAAGTGATAAAGACTGGTGTTGAGGTAGAAGGAGATCCGTTTCCTAATCTAAGGCGTCCGCAGACTGTGGAGGGGTAACATCTATGAGGTGTTGAATACTGGGTTCTACTTGTGGCTTTGAGGGCCTAGACTGTTTTCCTGCTTTATTCTCCCGCCACCTCCCCACTGCGGCCTGTGCTCCAGGCCCTTCTAACCACTCTCTCCAGACTCTCAGTTTGCAATGGCCGTTTCCTCTGGTTAGAACACTCTTTTGTACCCTCTTCCTCTGTCTCCAGTCAACTCCTGCTTGAACACCTCCATGACAGAGCACGCACTGTCACCAAATGGCATGGCCTTACTGCTTCAGAAAGTGAGCTCGGGGGCCAGCCTTCCTGGGTTTTAACCCCAGCTCCTCTCTGTGCATGCTGCAACCTCGGCATTAATTCTGACTGTCTTAGGACAATGGGAATAATACAGAATATCTTGTAGGACTACTAAGCTTAGTTACCCACTTCAAGCACTTAAAACAGAGCATGGCACATAAAGTGTTCTATAGATCTTTGCTAGTATCTATCTCTTAAGGCAACCCATATCACCTACTTAAAATTTTTATTCTTAAAGATTTGTTGTGTTAGTGGTCTTATCACGTAGTACCAGTTTACTTACTTATTTAAATAATTATTCATTTTATTTATTATTATTATTTTAATTTGACCAGAGAGAGACAGAGAGAAGGGGGAAAGTGAGAAAGCAAGCTACCAGGTCCAGGAATTGAGCCGCAGTCGGCCATGTGGGAGTCCAGCATCCCAACCATCATACCACCCACCAGTCCCACATAGTGCCAATTTAAAAGCAACTGTTTCAGTCTTTTCTAAATTCAATGATAGATAACAGTCTTAAGTAATTATTATTAGGCTTTTATCCCAATTTTTTTCACCTTTAAATTACATTTTTAAGTGGAGTGCCATATTCTGTATATTACTTTTTTTTTTTTTTTAAAGATCACAGGGTGTGTGTGCATGCCAGAGAGAGAGGGACATTCCCCAATGGGGTTGATCATGCTACAACATTCTTTCCTTCATGCCTTCTTCCTGCCAAGATCCTGGGCATGCCCCCAAGGCAGGGATTGGAACTGTGACCAGCCATGAGAGAGCTGGCTCCTTCCACACAACACTTAATCTCTGCTTTAGGGGGCTGCCCTCTGGCTCTTTATTATCCATTTTTTTTTCAAAGAATTATTTTATTTAGGGGCTAGAGAAGATGGTGGTCTCCACAGGAGTGGAGTAATGTGGCTAGAGGATGTTTCATGTTAGATCCTGAATGCCAGGAAGACTACAGGCACTGTCGTCTCAGGGCAGTCATCTTAGGAGAGGCGTTAAAGTTCCTCATAATTTTTGCTTGTTGGAAGAACTTAAAGAAGGACAAAAAGGAGTAGGCGATGGTACCATTAGCTGGGGCCTTGAAGATGATGAAGACGTGGCACTTACAAGGTGGACAGGCATGATTATTAGGCCACCAAGGACAAATTATGGAACCAGAACATATAGCCTGACAGTAGAATGTGGACCTGAATATCCAGAAGTTCCTTCATCAGTTAGATTTGTAATAAAAATTCATATGAATGGAATAAATAATTCCGGTGGGATGGTGGATGCATGGAGGATACCAGCGTTAGCAAAATGGCAAAACTCTTACAGCATTACAGTTGTCCTTCAAGAAGAGCTACGATTTCTATTGATGTCCAAAGAAAATATGAAGCTTCCAGAGCTACCAGAAGGACAAACATAACAACAATTAATTTTAGAGGCTCTCAAATTTGTCTTAAATCAACAACCTTCTACTCATATAAATGTCTTGATTAAATATCACACTACAAATACCCACACATTAAGAGAATTCCCGCTGGTAAACATGACTGGACAGTTGTAAGAATATATTTAATATATGTACACCCATTATGTTTTCAGGTAACGAGAAAAAGCGCAGCACAATTTTTTTTCTCTTGTTAAGGCACTGTCATTTAGACGTAAGCCTAGAGTACTCAAAATAGAATCCGAGTTTTCAAGATGAAAGCATGATGAGAAGCGTCAGATGGCAGTGGTGTAAGCATGTGTGTTTCTGAAAAGTAAAAAATCTCAAGGAAAAACAAATGGCATACTTGATCCATCTTGCTTTGTGAAAGAGCCGCAGTGGAAATTGTTTAAGGTAGCAGGTACAATGACTATTGTCACAAATTGTGTTAATTTTTGAAGCGGTGTGGGTGCTGACTACTAGTAGTATCAAAAATACATTCGGAATTGCTTTCATACCTGTATTTATAATAAAAAATGTTGGGGGGCATATTGACTAATTTCTGTTAAAAGCCGTTCCTGTGTGTTACATGTAATGGACATGGTAAACATTTGCTTACAGTTTTGTTTAACGAAAAATACATTTAAGTTGAAGTGAAGTCAACAAAAAGGAAATAGGTATATGGATATGTGATTTTGAGATTAAAGTTAGTCTTAAAGTGGAAATAAAATGTGGAATGCATCCTCAGGGGGAGAAGAGAATTATTTTATTCGACTTATTTATTTATTTTTAATTTGACCAGGGGTGGGAGGGAGTGAAAAAGCAAGCTGCCAGGACAGGGATTCGAACCGCAGTCAGCCATGTGGAAGTCCAGCACCTTCAACCACCGTGCCACCAGCCAGCCACTTTATTATCCATTTTTAATGCCTATATTGTATTTCATTGTTTCCTGAAGCATTTCCTGATATTTGAGCATATAGATTACTTTCAATTTTTTATTATTCTGTTTGGACCTACTTGGCAGACTCCTATGAGTTAATTGGTTGGGATTTTTTTCTGAAAAGTGATATTTTTGAGTCAGATTTTATTTTTATTCCTTTTATTATCCATTGCTCTGAATGTCCTCTAAAATGTTTCCATAATCTATTATAAATTATATATATGTGTGTGTGTGTATATATATATATATATCAACCATTATAAGTGTTTGCATAAGAAATTTAATGTATACATAAAGTTCTTTTAAACTTTCAATATGAATTATAGCAAAATTTAATGTGCCAAATATAATGTCACAAGGGGCATGAAGTTTAATTTTTTTTTTTTTGGAAAGGTTTTTGCTATAGGGCGTGTGTACTTGCCAGAAAGACAGAGAGACAGAGAGATAGAAAGTGAGAAATCACCCCTCAGGGGGGATGGCCATGCCACAATCCCTTCTCATCCATTCTCCTCTCAGGATCTTGGGCATGCACACACCCTCTCTCCCACTGTGAGTTTAAGCCATCGGGTCTGGGACTTGAACCTCAGTCGACTACATGGGAGTCCGGCGACATAGCCATTGCGCCAACTGCTGGTCCCAGAAGTTTAACTTTTTTTTTTTTAAAAAAGAATTATTATATTGGGGCTGACAGGTGGTGTGGAGGTTAAGGGCGCTGAACTCCCACGTGGCCAACTGTGGTTCAAGTCCTGGAACTGGTGGCTTTCTCACTCTCACACTCCTCTCTCTCTCTCTCTCTCTCTACTTATAAATAAATAAATTAAATAATTATTTCTTAATAATTATTTATTTTATTATTTTATTTATTTATTTAATTTGACCAGAGAGGGGCAGAGTGAGAAAGAGAGGGAAAGTGATACAGCAAGCTGCCAGGTCTGGAACTCGAACCACAGTTGGCCATGTGGGAGTCTAGCGCTCTTCACAATCATGCCATCTATCCACCTTGAAGTTTAGCTTTTTATAACAGATACAAATTACTACAATTTAAAAAAAATCTAGAACACACGTTAAACTATCGATCTACTTATTTCTATATTAAATCAGTGTCTGAGCTTTTTGATGTAGAGACTATAATTTAGTTTCTAAGAAAAATAACCTATTAAGAATAAAGTCATTAAATAAGATTGATGATTTCTTTGTAATGCAGTCCTATTCCAATTTCACAGCTTAGCTTAATTTAAAGAACATTTCATATTACAATTATAGCTATTATAAATGTCAATATAAGAAATTTAAGAATTTATTTAACAATGATCCAAATGCCTCTTTTAACAATTTTTGAATTAGATCATAGAAAATTCTGTACTGTCCACTGCACTGGTTACTTGAGAAGCTGGCCTCCGAATGTTGTTGGGATGGAAGAAGAAAGAGACAGTAAGAAAGACAATGGGAATTTTACCTGCCTCGTTGCCATTGGAAGATTACATCCATCTGTTGTCCCCCGGAAGAGTGGAGAGATTAAAGTGAAGCCAACAGAATTTATAACCCGGTTTGCAGTGAATGGAAAGTTTGTCTACGTAGATCAAAGGTAAACATTTAGATGCTGTTACGATGAGATTCAGTGGGATATTTGAGGCTATTAAAGACCTGGCTCAGTAGTCCCACTGGTTTTTTTTTTTTAAGCTTCAGAACAGGCAATACAGTTTAAACAAAATAAGGACATGGATGTGCTGGTGAATTTTTCCAAGTTAAAATGTAAACTTGGAATACTAATTCTTTGCCAGTGTACAGAAACTGGGCATGGTCTGTGGCCACAGTTTTACTGGTGAATGGTCCTGAGAGCAGGCCCTGGCTTGAGTGTGTGACCTCCTGCAGCTTAGACAGGGCCTAGGACAGCCAAAGGGAGCCCAGGGATGCACATGGGCTCCTCACTGCCCTTCTATCTTGGTCATGTGTCAACCTACAGTATTGTGGAAGGGAGTATATGTATCCTAGCCACTTTTTTTTTTTTTTTTTTGAGAGGTTTTTGCTGTAGGACGCATGCACCCGCCAGAAAGCGAGAGAGAGAGATAGAAAGTGAGAAATCACCCCCCAGGGGGGATGGGCCACACCACAGTCCCTTCTCCATTTACCTCTTGGGATCCTGGGGATGCATGCACACATGCCTGCCATGAGTTTAAGCCACTGGGTCTGGGATTCCAACCATGGTCAACTACATGGGAGTCCAGTGACATAGCCATTACGCCATCTTCTGGTCCCATCTACTTTTTTTTTTTTACATAGCAAAACAGAGACTTTATTAAAAAGAGGGGAGGAAAAATAGAGCTCCCAAAAAGAGAGGGGTCCTGGAAAATGGGTTGCCTCCTATCCACTCTTAAGTTTATTTTCAATTTTAAAACCAGGGCAACAGCAATTTTAGGATATCTGCCTCAAGAACTTTTGGGAACTTCTTGTTATGAATATTTTCATCAAGATGACCATAGTAATTTGACTGACAAGCACAAAGCAGGTAGGTATGCACTGAGTGGATACTTTATTGGTAAATTTTAATTACATCTTCAACTCTTAATTTCTCGTTCCCATGAAAACTGAAACTTGAGTTAATCTTCAAGTGTGTAAAGTGGTAGATAGTTTTGCTGATTATTATCTTTTCTTGTTAAGTTCTACAGAGTAAGGAGAAAATATGCACAGATTCATATAAATTCAGAGCGAAAGACGGATCTTTTGTAACTTTAAGAAGCCAGTGGTTTAGTTTTATAAATCCATGGACCAAAGAACTGGAATATATTGTGTCTGTGAACACTTTAGTTGTGTAAGTAATTTTTCATATTATTGAGACCTTTGTATTAATCTCAGATGAGTATCTTCACTTTTCTCATCTTGCTAAGCCATTAAAACTATAATATATGATCCTCTAGCCTTAACCTAAATAGATATTTTGAATAATTCATTTACTGTCTGTTGGCATTAGTTGTCAGAATTAAAGAAGTTTTTCCTTTTGTAATATATTCTTGCTCAGTTGGTGTAATATGTATGTGTAAAGGCTTTTATTCAAGTCTTCTTCCTACCCTTCATGGCCTTACTCTCATACATGATATAGATAGAGCTTTTTTCATCGTAAAAAATTGTTTTATCTATGCCATCATTTTTGCGTCATCCCTTTTTCTCTCTCTCAATTGCCAGAGGACCCATGTACTTCCTAGAGAGAGAGAGTGAGCGAGAGAGCACACACCCCTCAATGGGGCATGGTCACACCACAATCCTTTCTCCTCCATTTCTTCATCTTGTCAGGATTTGGGGCATACACACACATGCACCTGGCCTACTTTTCAAAGCACTGGAGCCAGGATGAACCACGGTCAGCCACGTGAGACCCAGCTCCTCCCTTAACCTGTAGGTCCCAGGGCCCGCCTTGTATACCTCTCCTAAGCCTTATTGAACAGGGCATGCACAGCACAAAGGTGCTTGGCAGAAAGGTGAGCAGAGATCCAGCCTAAGTGTTGCTTGGCAGACCCTCATCCATGACTGTCAGCCTGAAGAGCCAACTTTTCCTGAATTGCACAAATACTAGCTTGGCTCTGTTCTAAGTTTATTGTTTTTCTTTACGTTTTTCTGTGACATTTCTTTAGGATTTCATCAAGCCAATTCTGCTTCCTCACCTATAATATTAGTTCCAAAGAAAAAGATGAAGAAAAAGAATCAAGTTTAGGGAACCAGCAGTTAGCGTAATGGCTATGTCGCTGGACTCCCACGTAGTCGACCGCGGTTCGCGTCCCAGACCCTGTGGCTTAAAACTCACGCCGGGCGCGTGTGTGTGCGTGCCCAAGATCCCACGAGGAGAATGGAGGAGAAGGGATTGCGGCGTGACCATCCCCCCTGGGGGGTGATTTCTCGCTTTCTGTCTCTATGTCTCTCTCTGTCTGTCTGGCGAGCACATGCGCCCTATAGTGAAAATCTCTCCAAGAAAAAAAAAAAAAAAACAGAATCAAGTTTAATACCTCCAATACTCACTGTCACCCATCCCAATAATCCTTGGCTCCTCATCATTAGTAAATGAACTGGGAATTTTTACTATAAGAACAGGTACTTATAGGTTAATAGAGCATTTAGTAAATGCTTGGCACATCAATACCTTGATCTCTACTGGTAATATTAATATGTGTCTATATGACATAAATGGCAGAAGAGTTGACAGTTCAAATACACAGAGCTTAATGTAATTGCTTTAACAACTTCTTCCACCTTGGGGGGAAAATTCACTTAATGGTATTTCTTCATTCTAGGGGGCATAGTGAGACTGGAGAAGCATCATTATTTCCTTGCAGCTCTCAATCATCAGAAGGTACGTGTAGTTTTAGATGATGGAAAACATTATTACTAAATTATTTTAATTTGCTAGAGGGTACATGCGCTTTGTCAGAGAATGAGAGAGAGAAAGAAAGTAAGAAAGCACCGTCCATGAAGCATGTCACGAGCAATCCCGTTACCACCTTTGGGGATTTCAGGCACACATGCACATGTGCCTGTCATATTTTTCAAGTCACTGGGTCTGGGACTCAAACCCAACAGTTGACCATGTGGGATCTAGCTACCTTAACCACCAATCACAGACTGGCCCGAGACATATTATTAACACTATTATTTAACTATAATTATGAAGTTATCTTTTTCTGTCTTGTAGAGGGAAGAATTTTAAGGTGAAGTTGAAAAGACTTTTATAGCTTAGGTTTTGAGAATTCAAACTTTGGTTCAGAAGAAAGATTAAATTAAAAGGGAAACATCTTATTTGAAACTCCACCATATCCCCCTCACAATTCTCATAGCACTTTGCTCACATTTATGTTATAATCTTACATCATAACTTTACAAAGAAGTTTTATCTTTATTCATGATACAGCAGCATGTGCATATGAATGTGAGAGAGAGTGAGAGAAAGAGAGGAACACCCTTCACATGGTCCCACCATGCTGTAATCCCCTTCCTTCAGTCCCCCAGCTACAGATCCTGGGCACTCTTGCATGCCTGGCATGGTTCAGGCTGGCTAGACCAGACATTGAAACTGTGGCCACCACGTGGGATCCAGTTTCTCTGGAGTACTGTGTTACCACTACACCATGAAACCGACCCTGTAACTTAATTAACTATTCACTCTATTGGATTCCCAATATCCTGTGTGTTCAAGAACAGCATTGGCGTTTTCTACTCCTAGCAGCTAGTATTGTTCCTCATCCATTGTGGCACTCACTAAATAGCTGTTAGAAGAATGTTAGGAGGAGCGTTTGTTTATCTGTGTTAGTTGTTCACCACAGGAATGTATTAATGTATGATTTGTATAAATAAAATGAAGGAAATATTAAAAACAAAGTAGCAAAGGCCACAGGTGGCATGGAGATCAAGGCAGCTTGATCCCACATAGCCAACTCTATGATTCAAGCCCTAGACCCAGTAGTTTGAAAATCATACTGGATGCATGTGTGCACTTGCTAAAAATACTGAGAAGCGAATGGAGGAGAAGGGATTGTGGCATGGCCATGCCCCAAGGGAGTGATTTCTTATTCCCCCCTTGTCTCTGTCTCTCTCCAGTAAGCACATATGCTCTATAGCTGCCTCGGTCTGGAGGCAAAGAGATGTGGTGCTCCCAGGGGAAGCAGGCTGTGGATTGAGAAGGGACAGACTGAGAAAAGCAGGGGCCAGGCATACCGGGCGTCTCTGAGGAAGAGCGCCGCAGCCAGCAGCCGTTCTGTGCTTATTCTTTTATAGGGGAGGTAAAGCTGCGCACTTTCTATGTTGACTACAGCTGTGGAGTATCTAAACAAGTCTCTTCTGGCCTTCTCTGGTATTCTCTCTTTACTGCCCAGCAGTAGATTGTGTCTTTGTTAGAGCTTTTGCTTGCCCTGCAGCATCAGAGCAAAGACTAGAACTACTTTAAGGTGCTCCCTGCATATAGCAAAACCTTAGAAAACAAACAAGCAAACAGAAGACATTTCCCTAGCCTTAATGTGAAGATTAAAGTGGGGAAGGACTGAACTCAAGGGTTACGGGTCATGCTTATGCCCTTAGGGATGTCCTACCCGTTTGATTCACAGCGTTCTTCGTAAGTATGTGAGTTACATCTGCAGTGAAAGGATGAATGTTTTCCAACATTTTAGGACGCAGCTACTCTTTCCTCAGGAGAGAACTAGGAAATTATTCAAATTGAAAGAATGATGTTAACTATCGTTATATAGTTTTTTTAAGTTCTCAGTTGAGCTTTTTCTTTTTTATTGTTTAGAATCCTCCAGACAGTCTTGTATTAGTGTGCCTGGAATGTCAACTGGAACAGTGCTTGGTGCTGGTAGTATTGGAACTGATATTGCAAATGAAGTTTTGGATTTACAAAGGTAATGTTTTATTGCTGCAAATATTTTCATAAGTAAAATTACATTTACAAAGCCAATAAACAAAAATTAGTAATTTTCCCATATGCCAACAATAACCAGTTTAACATTATAATAGAAGAGTAATTACCTTTACACTGGCAACAAAAAAGAGGAAATATCTAAGTAGCAATTTTTTTTGGTAAATATAAAGACCTGGGGGCGGGGGAGGGGAGAAGACTTTAAAAATGTGCAAAGGAACATAAAAGATGTCTTGAGTGCTTTTGGTGATAGAAACTGTTTTTTAGTGGGAAAAAAATCAATATTATAGGATGCTATTTTCCTTAAACTAACTTGTGAATTCAGTCAAAATACCACTGTGCATTTGATTTTTGGAATCTGACAAATGATATACATACAAAAATGTCTAGAAAGCTTATAAAATTTAGAGTGATAAAGTGAGACTAGGTCTATCAGATTTAAAACATGTAAAAAAATCTACAGCCACTGCCTGCAAGCAACCACTGCAGGAATACATGCTCGGTATGAATTTCAAGCCACTGGATCTGGGACTTGAACCATGGTTAATCATGTGAGAAAATAGTGATGTACCCACTCCGCCATCCGCTGGCCCCTTTTCTTGCTGTTCTAATTCCTTGAGACTCATGTGATCTGATTTGCACTTCCCTAGTGATTAGTGATGTTGAATATCTTTTTTTTTAAATTTATTTAATTCCATTTGTTGTTGTTATTTCTTTCTAAATTTGACCAGAGAGAGAAAGGGAAAGTGAGAAAGCAATCCAACAGGTCTGGGACTCAAACCATGGTCGGCCATTTGGGAATCCAGCACCTTGAACCACCATGCCACCAGCCAGTCACAGTGTTGAATATCTTTTAATATGCTGATACGCCATTTGTATATCTGTTTTGGAGAAGTGTCTCTTTAAATCCTTACCTATTTTTTAATTGGATTGTTTGTTGTCATAGTTGAGTTGTAGACATACTTTATATATTCTGTACATTAACCCCCTTCAAATATGTGATAGGCAGATGTTTTCTCACAATCCATGGGTTTTCCTTTTTACTCTGATACACAGAAGTTTTTAACTTTTGTGTAGTCTGGTTTATCTTCTTTTGTTGTTTTTCAATTTTGTTGCTTGTGCTTTTGATATCTCATCCAAGAAATTGTTGACAAATCCAATGTCATGAGGATTTTTCACTATGTTGTCTTCTTTTTCTTTTTTAAAAATTATTTATTTAATTTTTATTTATTCATTGATTTATTTTAATTTGATCAGAGAGAGACAGAAAGAGAGAGAGGAAGTGAAAAAGCAAGCCACTATGTCCAGGACTCAAACTGTAGTCAGCTATGTGGGAACGTCCAGCATCTTAACTACCACCTCACCTGCTGGTCCCATTGTCTTCTTTTTATAATGTTAGTTTTTATTATTTTAGGTCTATAATTTAGTCTTACCAATTTTGAGCTCATTGTCTGCATATGGTGTAAGGTAAGGGTTCAACTTCCTTCTTTTGCATAGATAACCAGTGTTCCTGCAACATTGGTTGAAATAAGTATTTGTTTCCCCATTAAATGTTCTTGGCCCTCTTGTTGAAAATCATTTGACCATATGTACTGCAAAGACATTTTAAGAGAAGTAGAAATAGGGAACCAGCAGTTAGCTTAATAGCTATGTCGCTGGACTCCCACGTAGTCAACCGCGGTTCGTGTCCCGGACCCGGTGGCTTAAAACTCACGCCGGGCGCGTGTGCGTGCGTGCCCAAGATCCCGAGAGGAGAATGGAGGAGAAGGGATTGCGGCATGACCATCCCCCCTGGGGGGTGATTTCTCGCTTTCTGTCTCTCTGTCTCTCTCTGTCTGTCTGGCGAACACACGTGCCCTATAGCGAAAAAAAAAAAAACTCTCAAAAAAAAAAGAGAAGTAGAAATGGAGCCACACGTTTACTCTTGGGTACCATTTTTCTCTATGGAGGCACCTCAGGTAATGGAGATGGGCGGGAAAGAAATGGTGTTTTTAGAGACCAAGGAGATTCAGATGGGAGAGGAGCTGAGTTGGTGAGCAGTCAAGTAATAGAGACTTAAAGAGCAGGTTTATGCCCAAGGCACTAATAATGAAGAAACTGTGAGTCAGAATATTGGTATGGTAGGGAAGAACATGTGAGGAGAGAGAGTTTTTGTCATTAATTCAAGTCTAAATGAGCAAGTAATGATTTAAAAACATGGATCAGGGGCCAGCAGGTAGCGTAATGGCTATGTCGCTGGACTCCCATGTGGTCGACCGCGGTTCACGTCCTGGACCCGGTGGCTTAAAACGCATGTCGGGCACGTGTGCATGCGTGTCTAAGATCCCAAGAGGAGAATGGAGGAGAAGGGATTGCGGCGTTCCCATCCCTCCTGGGGGGTGATTTCTCGCTTTCTGTCTCTCTGTCTCTCTCTGTCTGTCTGGAGAGTGCACGTGCCCTATAGCAAAAACCTCTCCAAAAATAAAATAAAAACATGAATCAGGAGTGGCATCAGGAAGTGGTAAAATAGTACCTCTAGTGTTCTTCCTCTTGCAAAAAGGCCAATTCATATAACTATCTACATATGAAGAAGAACCCAGGTGAGAGATTACGGCATCTGGGTGCAGCACAGAAATATAAAAAGGTGGACTGAAGAGTATAGGAAGGATAGTTTTACATCACCAGTGTCACTGCTCCCTCAAGCACAGATAACAGCACAGAGGGCAATACCTTCCACGTTAAGGAAGGAGAATGAAGTGTGCACCTGACTTTGCCATGAGCATCAGGCTAACCCCCAGTGAAAGCTGGTGCGACACTGGCTCCTGTGACCCTAAGCTCTAGACTGCCACCACAGACTGAGCCTGTAGGCCCATTCTAATAACAGGCCAACCTTTGTGTCCCTAAGTTCCTATGGGAGACTAAGGCAGGCCTCCATAAAGTCAGACTCTAGCCCAACTCTGCAGACCCAGGTTCTAGTGAACCCATAAATAAGTACTGGCACCAGACAGGCCCATGGCCCAAGGTTTCAGGACTGCCTGTGTGGACCAAAGCTCTCGGACTGATCCTATAGACTCAGGCTCGTTCCAACGCTATGTCAGCCTGGCCTCTGTAGATTTAGGCTCCAGACCCTTCCCCATTGACCCACACACTAAGTCCATATGAGCACCAGACTGGTTCCCATGGACCCAGACTCAAGGCCTACCCCAGCACTAGGTCAGCCTCCATGGTTCCAGGCTTTAGGCCATCCCCTGTGGTTCCAAGTGCCAGGCCTGCCCACCTGCTGACCTAAGCACTGCGTCAGCCGGTTCAAGGACTCCAACAGCAAGCTCGCCTATGGGCCCCACTAGATCTCCCTCTTCTCAAATCTCAGAACTGAATATTGAAGGACATTCCTTGCCAAAGCCATCCGTTAAAGCCTGGAATCTGTATCTGCTTCTTTACATGTGCAGATACCAATACAAGGCCATAAAGATCACGGATGACAGGGGAACATACTGACTCTAAAAGAACAAAAGAAAGCACCATAACTGTCTAAAGAAATGGAGATCTATATGCCTGATTAAGAATAAAAAATAGGGGCGGGGCCAGCAGATGGCGTGGGTTAAGGCGCTGGACACTCACTCCCACATGGCTGACCACGGTTCGTGTCTTGGACCTGACAGCTTGCTTTCTTGCTTCTTCTCTCTCTGTCTCTCTCGTGTCAAATTAAAATAAATGAATGAATAAATAATTCTTTAGGAAAAAATAAAAGAATTCAAAATAGGGACAAGCAGGTAGCATGGTGTTTGGGGCACTGGACTCCCGCATGGCTGACCACAGTTCAAGTTCTGGACATGGAGACTTGCTTTCTCACTCTCTCAATCTGTCTCTCTGGTGAACACATGTGCCCTGTAGCAAATTTTAAAAATAATAATGATAAAATAAATAGTCCTAAAAAATGAAAAGGAATTCAGAATAGGCCCCCAGCACCTTCCTTCTGGCCCTGGACTGTGTACCTGAACCGTCTTCCTTGGCTGGTACCTGTGCTACCTGCACCTATCACACAGATGTGTGGCTGCTACCTCATATCTAGCCCCCGGCTTAGCCCCCAGCTGCATCTGGACCAGTCAGGGGAACATGGCAGTGACTCAGGGAAGTACCTATAGCTGTTCATTGCAGCAGCCCCAGGTGCCCAGGCTGTGGCCACTGCCTGCCAGCAACCCCTACAGGAAAAGGAATCAGGTCGGACCTTAAGGAGCCAGGATGGAATGGGCAGGAACTTCTAGATTGCATGGCTTCTACCTGAGAAAATAAAAATGAAATCCTCCTCTATAACTCTGAACCTTGGAAAACCACCATGTATCCTATCAGTCCCACCCATAGACGAACAAGGAAACTGGCACGAGGCTAACACACATTGCAGGAAAGTTGAAGAGCAAGCAGCTTCAGAAAAATATGTTGGACCTCCCACCTCACCCTCACCTCAAGCTGGCAAGAGAGCTACACCTTCATGCATTCCAACAAACAGGTAGAACTCTGTCTACAGGTTTCCACAACCTGGAAGGAGCGAAAGATTCAAAAGAGAGCACCCCCAGCGCCAACATGGACTGATAAATTTGGACACTACCCCTGTCTGGCAGGGAAGGAAGGCCTACACTCTCCCTTCAGTTAGTCTCAAGTCTGGGGGAGCAGTTACCAATTCAGCTGATGCCATCAACAGCACGGTTCCTCTAAACCTTCACTGAACTGCATCACGAACCCGCTACACAAGCTCTGTTCTGATCGGGAAGGACATGACTTTCATTGGCAATAACCACACACCTACAAAAAAATAAAGATAAGATACCTAGGAGTAAACCTAACCAAAGAAGTGCAAGACTTTTACAAGGAAAACTACGAAAAACTGAAAAAAGAAATTGAGCATAACACACAAAAGTAAAAAAATTCCATGTTCCTGATAGGAAGAATTAATAAAATCAAAATGTTAATTCTGTCCAAACTGATTTATAAATTCAATGCAATTCC